CAAATTAGCAACTAATTTGCGATAATGTGAAATTGGATTAAGTATAACTAAAGTGATGCAAACATATCTATAAAAAATAGGAATCCCTTGCAATATGTATCTATATTTCCCTTCCTAAAATGTCTCTTACCTGAGAGGCTGAAGCAACTGAACCTTTTTATTATTGATCAAAGAAAACTACAAGGATATAGGATTCAAAATCCTCAAAGGCATGGACAACGTCAACCCAGTTGATTGCTTCAGAATGAGCTGTGGGTGAAAAGCAAACCTGAGGACACAAGTAGAAACTATGCGTACTGTAAGGGCATTTAAAACCAAGAGGCAGAGGTACAGTACTTCTTTACCCAAAGAGTTGTGGGAGTACGGAACAAGGCAACAAGCTACTCAGTAATGTTGCTGTTCTTGGATCACTTAACTACCAAGTATGAAATGGGCCAGATGGGCTAAATGACTTCCTCTCCTTTGTAACCTTTTCTTATGCGATTTTGACAAGTACTCCTGGAGTTGATTTACCTTAGTCCGATTTGCTCCTATGCTCCAGAAATGCCATGTTGGCATGTTTTTCTCTCTTAAAACAGAGACTAGTCAGACACTGCATTTGCAGTCACACATAACAAAGTTCCCTTATGAGACATTAGGTTGTCTAGAAGAAAATCCTCCCAGACAGTCGCTCTTGGTTGTAGTTTGTACCAAAGAACACAAAATCTAAATGGAGGAAAACCAAACTCAAGAATGCTCAGTTTTACCAAATTCATTTTTTTTCTCCAAAAGCCACACATATTTGGTGAAGAAGATGATAAAAGAATGCTTTACTGGATATATACGCATGAGCTCCTACAAAAGCAGGAACAAGAAAGCCTTTACAAATGTTGCCTTTTGAAACAGAACTCTAAAACAAACTGCACAGAAAACGAACGGTGTACTACAGTGGAGTATAAGTCATTAACCTAAAGGAAAAAAAAACAGTGTTCTGGTTATCAACCAGTTGGGAAGTAAGAAGGGATCTGAGCAGCAGTGTTTACAGAGATATTCTGTTGAGACATAAGGTCAGTTTTGTTTTGTTTTTCTCCTCTCATTTCCCCCCCAGTTTTGGTTAGACTCCAACATCAGAAAGTATCATCTGAAATGCAAATATATTCAAGGGCACTTTAAATAATGTCTCTGCAGTACAGAAAAGAAGAATAAATCACTGCAGCACACTGAGAAAATAGGTACAATAAGTCTATAGCAACAATTAAAAACAAAACCAGCAATATCTGTAAAATACTTACTGTACCAACTGCAGTTATACAAGAACTGTTTTAAGAACTGATACCATAAAGGCTCAGTGCATAATGCTGTAGTGTACACAAACAGTCCTAATTAGTTCCTCATAGCCAGTTACAGGTCAGGTCACTTATGTTTTGCAACCACACACTTACTACAGCAATTAATGACAAGTCTGCCACAAGGCATCACTGACAGGCACAGCAGCTGAAGTAGTAGTAAATAGCATTAAGTGGTACAATTAAACACTCAGAGCCCTAATGCCAATTGAGCACATCAAGCCAAAATGACATCTATCATTCTGGCATAAGAAATGAGTTTCTTGATGTGCCATGATTTGTGCTTAGCACACAGTATAATCTCCTTTAACTGCCAATGTACAAACATTACACCTCAGCATCCTAAATAGCAGCTTTTTGCCAAAAACAAAATAGGAATGCTCCCTGGCCTTCGTTAGTCTGTTAATCATAATCCATTTCTAAAGCAATACAGTACAGTAATGATGACAACTAAATTAATCCAAGATAGTATTATGAAGTGTCACACAAAAAATGAAAGGAAAACACCGGAAAACAAAGAGGAGAAGCCCAGCCAGAGAAACCAGAACTGATTCGTTTCGCTTCAATGTTTAGCCAAGAGATTTGACTTCACGGCACTGTCTTAAGAACATACACAAAAAAAAAATTCAAGTAAAGACTTTCTAAATCTTAACAGGTGTATTTCACCAAAGATGGAAACCCCCTTTCTAACCAAGCTACTCCAGAAATATACAATTCACATAAACATGCTCCTACAGGTATTCCTTATACATAAACTAAAGTTAGCATCCCCCCAGACAGCTGGGGCTGGCGAACACTTCGAGGTTTGGTCCCTCAGAAGCACAGACGTGAAGATTTCCACTTTCAAGTCCAATTATCCCTCTGCCGAGAACACTTCGACAGGCAAACACAAAGACACTTCCTCACAAGAACACACATGTTAATAAATAGGAAAAGTGTTATGCAAAAAAATGACCTAAAATTAAATCAAAGATTCAAATGGATGTACAGTAATTTTTGTAATTGCCATTTTTCTTTTCCTTTTTTTCAGGGTCCCAGGGACTCTAACTCTGCAGTTCTATGATATTTATTTATATCTATGGTAGCCCTCTTGCAGTATAGTCGGGCATGACTTACAATAAGCACTTTCCTTTAGAGTTAAACACTGCGTTCAGTAGGGCACTGGGTCTGACTACAACAGTCTGACCCACTTTACGTGACCTTATATAATAAATTATTTACTGCTTCCAACAGTCAGTAAAGCCAAACGGGTTTACAGTTTGAATTCAAAAAGTCTACAACAGCCACGTCTACTCAGGTGTACGTTTATTACTGTCAGCTCTTACCTTCCTTGATTTATTTTAAGTAGACTGCAGTCAGGTGTGTATTGGCGGCAAGCCAATCTCTAACTACAATCACATGAACACTTCAGCTGTGATGACAGCTTCTTGCTCTGCTGTTAAAACCTTCATGTTCATTTTTAAATTTGATCAACTCTCTTTATCTGCAACTCCCTTTGGGATCTTTATCATCGTTTAAAAAAAGTATTAAAATACAAATGGACGGTCGTTTCTTTCACATGTCAGTATAGTGGATTAAACTGCATTTCTTTATACCAAATTAACACAAAATCTAGTTTATAAGGCAGCATGGTAAACCACAGATTTTGCCATTACACCCTCTGCAGTGCACACAATTACATCCTTGCAGCCAATTCAGAAGAAATCAAAGGCACGCAACACACATGCTGTGACAGATTCAGTTCAAGCTTTCTTCAGTAAATTAGGATCATATTCTGACAGATCCCCTCTTAAGTGTAGCATTTCTAACCAAACAAAGAAGTAGCATTGTTTTTTTTAAGTTTGTTAAATAGCATTTTAAGATTTTCAGAGGCGAAAAAAGTTTGACCACCCCAAACACCTATCTCCAGATTCTAGTGCCAGCTGATTTTACAAAATGTAAACAACTACAAATGGAATTCACTCTGGCATTCTGGAGGCTGTGCCACCTGACCTAGGCATTAAAATTCAACAAACAGACCAGCACAATTGACATTGCTACACAAATTAGACCCCACTTCTTTCATCTCTACCGAGGAAAACAAACTATGTGGGCATGGCGTGGGTAACAACTAAGTTTTACCCTTGCTGTCCACTTAATGTGCTTAGTTTAACGTGGGATCTGCAGGTAGTACCGTTTGCAAACTTAACTTTCTTCTTAGTGGTCAATTTCTATTCTAGGTGAATCAATCATATTCTGAAATGTTCCAAATGACCAAAACTAAAACAATCCTGAGAAGTATTCGAACAGATCTGAAGTGAGAGCGTCATGTATCCAGAATTCAACAAAAACAAATGAGGCAGGCAGCTGTGCAGGTGCCACTTTGAATAAACACCGGCCCCGGACCGGTCTGCAAGGAGCAGTGTGCGTGTGTAAACATCCTGGATTGACACAAGGCGTCTAATGAACCCCCACCACTATCCTACAAGGGAAAGACATTGCAGAGGACCTTCTTAAAGAATCCAATACATGCGGATCGTTAAAAGCGCTGAAACTGCGTCTTACTACCTCACCATATCACAAAAAGAAAAATACCTTTTAGGATTAGCTACGTATTCCAACAAGAGTGATCTGACCATTTATTAATTTCCCTTCTTTCACCCTACTCAGTGTTTCGGGGCAGTATGCATGTCGAGTTAGGCTTCAATACAGATGCGAGAAGTTATTTACTACTAAATATCTCCTTAACAGATCCCTCGTCTTATATATATATATAATCTCAGAATCCTAAATATCTTAAAATGAATCATTATTCAAGCTTTGCAACATTCGGCTTCACAGATAAAGTAATTCACATAATGGAAAATGAAGAAGAGCGTAAAAATGTCGCTGATAATCTCATGGTGGGTTTAAAATGACCAGGCTCCACATTTTAATTTTACAAATCACAGCAGAGCATTTACCACACCCCTCAAACAAGATTGGCGAGAGACGCTTATTTCACAAAACGTGTTTTCCTTTTTTTAATCTTTTTTTTTTTTGGTGTGCTTTGTTTAGAAGAGCTTGGTCTGATACCTTTGTGCACACTTCGGTAGGCCCAGATAATGAATGTTTATTTCCCAAAATAAACGACAACAACAACAACAAAAAAATACGACTCTGTCATGTCATTTGATCGAAATTCATTTTTCAAACTGTTTAAAACCGTCGTGCTCTTTTTATCCATCTGACAACCGATGCCATACCCCCCTAAGGCGAGAAAGAAGATATTGACTTCTCCCAACTCCTATACAATACGCTTTTTCATTTGCAAATGAGCTCCAGTCCATGTGGTTGTCCGCTTGCGAGTGGCTAGCACGCCAAATCCCCACATCTGTAGTCCGATTTGATTCATGCGGACGAATTAATCAAGAAATCAAGCATCAAGTAAAGTTGTGCCGATTGTCCTTGTTTAGAAGATTAGGCACTTATGGACGTGGCTTTTACACATTGCATACCCCTACCCTTTTTACGGCAAATACATTTCAGATCTCGATTGAAACCATCAATACATCAATAAGACCTCCATTAGGTCCTTATCACGAAACGAACAAATGTCAGGGACCTGCCACTCTCCACCTTCAACGTATCATCATCACATAATAGAAGGAACATCAAATATAAGCATGGGATCCGAAGAATGTTGTTTTCACCTACCAAAACGACTGCAAATCTCTCCTCCAGTTCACCTGGTTCAGGCATGGGTAGTTTCAGTGGCATGCTATGAGCCCTGAAATCAGTTTGCTGAGAATCCATACTCCCTGCGTTTCCCATGTTTTCTGTCCGTTTTAACTGCAAGTTTCCACGGTTTAGTCTTGAAATTTCAAAATCACGAGCGAGTCAACCTCGACACAATAAAGGTATCCGTTACTGGGGGGGAAATGCCACCACCTCCCTGTTTTATTCCAGTCTGGTCACTTTCCAGTACAACAAGGCGAAGACAGGAAAACTCGACGTATCCGAAAGACCAACGTCTCCCCCTAGCATTATTCACACAATTCGGGGCTTTGGGTTTTCTCTCCCTCTTCATTCATTTTCCTTCTAATGGAGCAACAATAACGCGGATTTATACAAAGCAAATACAAAAAAGGTGCCTCCTATCCGTATCTTGCACAATTTCTGCACCACTCCCAGCTGGTTGTAATGGTGATAATGTGCATGATTCAGGCTTAGCGGTCCTCTACTATGTGTAATCCTTCCGATGCTGACAACACACACAACACAACACACTTCACAGACACATCCCCACACAATGAGCCCTTTCAGCCTGGCCCCCTGCTAGGGCGTGACTACGCCGTGGTGACGAATTGGAGAGTGAGGCTGTTTTGTTCCTGTTGCATTCTGGGATTTGGAGTTCAGGTGTTCCGTTGCGGTTAGTCAGCTGAAGCCGAGCGGACAGGTACAGTATAACATAGTACCGCGTGTTGGGTTCACCACTTCAAGATGATCTAGCGACTGTAATATGAGGAATAATTAAGTAAGAAAGACTATGACAGTTTAATAGCGGAGTGTTTTTACTAGTTTGAATCTGCAGGATGAAATACAGGTTTGGCAGGTCATAGTAAACCATATGATAATTGCATAGGGTCTTATAGCTATTGGGGGAAAATACTTGAGTCTCAGATTAAATCTTTAACCCACCCACAAATTAGAAAATTCCAAACAGACTACATTCTGTCTGCCAGGGGCTTTGTGTAAGTGACCATTGGTGGGTACTGTATGTCCAAGATGTAATGTATTGGTCTATATCTTGGTCTATATTTCCCATGAAAAGGAAAAAAAACACCCAATTTTGTAATTGTCTGATAGTACTCCAGACATTGTGTCAAAGGTGTGGTTCTGAGTCTTCCTCTTTTCTACTGGCGAACTACAGTAAGATATGGAGAATTGAAAGAGCTGATCTTTAAAAGCAGAAAAACAGGTTTAAAAAATAACAGAGAGATGCCTAAAGATAAAATAGCATTACACAAATTTCCAAGAACTTTTATTTTACATGTAATGAAGTTGCTAATTTAAAAGTATTCTGCATAACAACATAAGAGAGGTTACATAAGGAAGTCATTTGACCCATCTAGCCAGTTTTTTAGTTAGTAGTTGATAGATCCAAGGATCTCTTCCAGGTGCTTCTGTTTCCAGCCATTGCGGTTGGTCAGCAGTAGTTGAGCGCACAGGTACAGTATAACATAGTACCACATGTAGCATGTATAACATGAACAGACATGGTGAATGTACTAGTATCAAGTTGAAAGTGCATTTGAATTCATGAATAAATTAAACACAAGCTCCTTATAGTTAAAACCTGACATGATTCACCCAACAAATGAGATTTTTTTTTCTCTATCTATTGGAACTGTTTATTGGCACAATAGTATTTATAAGAAACTATTGTGATTCCCTACTAAGGGTCTATGGTGGTAATCAGTAGTAAGTGTATTCAGGTTTGTCAAAAGACTCGCCTTTTCTCATTACAACTTCTATTATATTCAATTCGATATTTAATTATGCGATGGGAAAAATTATTTTTCTGGCAATTAAGCATAAGGTGTCTCCGTCCATCAGAAAATCTCCCATCGGGGTACCCTGAAAAGGACTAAGGGGTGTGTGCAACATCATAATTATGAGTTTTGAAGCTTAATATCAAATATGAATTGCACATAGATTAAATATTTTGGTTCAAATGTGAGATCCCAACACCAAAATGTAATGGTTGATGGGGTGGTTTAAAGTTAGATACAATGTGACAAAAAGTGAATGAAACTCATGCTCTTTAATTAACCTCCAAGCAGATACTGCACAGGGCTTGTATTTTAAACACATTAAGATAAAATCACTGGAAATCTCTGGATGACCAATACTCCTTTCTCCTCCAGGGACTGAGACTCTGGACAGGGTGTGTACCATAGAGAGCAGCTCCAAACAAGACATTTATATAGCTCAGTAAACACCGCGGAGGATTCATGAGAATAGTGCATGCAAACCGTTTTAGGCAGGATAGTCTGATTAGAACCTAGATACAGTTCAGTATAAGAATGTGGTTGGCCATTTGGCATAGCAGAGCTTGAGATGAGGGGAAAGAGCTGGGTGTGATGAAGACACAATAAACTCTCATTTTGGATTCACTTCTCTATATATTTTTTCAAAACAAAATCACATAATTGCTTCCTTACTTTGATAAGCCTCCTGCCTGTAGCTCAGGGGTGTTCAACTCCAGTGCTGCTGTGCAGCAGGTTTTATGGATCTTTTTAAATCTCAAGCTTCCTAGGAAAACAAAAAGCTTTCAAGTTGTTCAGCTTGTGCAATTAAGCAAATCATTCAGTTCAATGAAGTGAGTAAAGGATCATATGGAAAGACATCTTCAGGACCTCCATAAGTGGAGTCGTTCACACTTACTGTACAGTAGGTGCTCCCTGCTAGTTTGGCATCCCCCAAACCGGTCAAACTGAGTCATGTCCCCATCCAATTACAATATAGCCTCAATGCAGAAAAACAAACAAGCATGCAGTGTTTTGTGGATGGGCATTGCTTTGAGCAAGGCATTCCTCGCAGACTGCTTTAGTGAAGTGACCAGCCGTATAAATGGACCACAAGTCATTTTCAACAAAAGTGTCAGCCAATTCAAACAATAAGCTGTACCTCTGTATGTGTTTGTGTATGTTTTGAACCGTCCTTTCATATTTACAGAATATGCATGTCAGTAAACCCTTTGATGAGTAAATTTAGATTGTTATTCCCCTGCCCTAACAGTTTCCACACAAAAAAGGTTTTAACTTCTACTATGCATATCTTCAGGAAGGCTAATTCTAAATTAATTGCGGAGTTCACATTTAAATAAGCACAAATTACTGATACATCATCTTTCACCCACTTGTTTTGATGTGAGCAGATACCAGAATAATACTGTATGTGGCTGCCAGCATGTAAAATAAAACATCCTGACTAACCTTGATCACGGTTCACCACCTCAAGATAATCTAGTGACTGTAATATGAGGAAGAATTAAGTAAGAAACACTATGACAGTTTAATAGCGGAGTCTTTTTACTAATTTGAGTCTGCAGGATGAAATACAGGTTTGGCAGGTCATAGTAAACCATATGATAAATTCATAGGGTCTTATAGCTATTGGGGGAAAATACTTGAGTTTCAGATTAAATCTTCAACCCACCCACAAATTAGCAAATTCCAAACAGACTACATTCTGTCTGCCAGGGGCTTTGTGTATCTACCAATGCGAAGTGACCATTGGTGGGTATGTCCAAGATGTAATGTATTCTAAGTCTTGGTCTATATTTCCCATGAAAAGGAGAAAAAACACCCAATTTTGTAATTGTCTGATAGTACTCCAGACATTGTGTCAAAGGTGTGGCTCTGAGTCTTCCTCTTTTCTACTGGCGAACTACAGTAAGATATGGAGAATTGAAAGAGCTGATCTTTAAAAGCAGGACATTGACATGTACTGTAAATGCTACTATGGAGACACAAGAAGCGAAGAGCAGGTTTGAAAAATAGAGAGATGCCTAAAGATAAAATAGCATTACACAAATCCAGATTTCCTAGAACTTTTATTTTACATTTAATGAAGTTTCAAGTTAACAGTATTCTACATACAGTAACAACATAAGAAAGGTTACAAAGAAAAGGAAGTCATTTGGCCCATCTAGCCAGTTTTGTAGTTAGTAGTTAATTGATCTAGAAAGAAACCAGGGTATCGACTTCAAAAACATGGCTGGGTATCTTGTTCCAGGCTCACAGACTTCCCTTATCCCCCACAATCCCACAACAGACACAATTAACTTTTGTCTTTGCAATTTCTTAGCTTTTCTTTTCTAAATTAGTTTGTAAAACTAAACGTCGTTTCCACCTTTATGGGTCTCTCAATCATAATAGCAAAATTAAAGACCAGCCACTGGGAAACTATTACTTGGATTTTGTAGTTATTTCTTGAGGTAAAAATCGAGCTTTCTCTATTTCTTACAGGGTGGAGTCCACACAAATCCCTTCTGCAAATGACATCAGCTGGGAACAGGTTTTGCCAAAGACATCCAACAGATGTAATGTTTTTTGGAAATGGAAAATGAGAGCAAAGACTGATTTAATAGGGCGGTGAGGCTGGATGGCTAAGTACACAAAAGGATGAAACACTGCTCACTGTGACCTCACAGTGTTTAAAATTACAGATGGGTCTGGTATCCAGCATATTCTGCCACGTACCAGAACGACAGGCAGATAAAAATACAGATGATGTTTAGCATCGAATTAGAAGTATTTCAACTTCCAGATTCTGTGGCTATTGTTATATTTTAAAAAACAGAATGAACAAAATAGGTGCTGCAAGAGTTCAGAGAAGTCATTGTCTGAAAACAGAAAGTCTCAGAGCATGTATTGTATTATCATTTCTTTTCCTTTTTTAACATCAATTCACAATAAAAATTGACTTGATTGGCAAATCCAGCACAGCAATCGTGAGATATAGTCTGAATTTAGTGACTCAAATATTTATGTAATCTGAGGGAGCCGCTTTTAAAATCTGTATGTGAGCGTTCAAAAAAACATAATTGAAATAATTTCATTGAAGTTGTTACCACCTTCTAGCCTGATCACATCTGATTCCAGAAGATAAGCAAGTCTGGGCCTAGCCAGTACTGGGGGTGGGAGATCTGTAAGAGATCCAGGTTGTTGCTGTAAGTGGTGAAGATTTAAATAGATAGCATTCTTCTCTCTTGTCCAGAGCTTCCAACCAGTTAATTGAGACGTTAAACCGGGATCCTGACTACTTGGTCATTAAAGATCCCAAGACACTTTTAAGATTAAGGGAATTAACCTTGGTTTCCCAGCTAAATTCCAATCTGGGATTGCACAATCTGGTCTACCTAAAATTCCGTCTCAAATGAAACGATGAAGGAATTTCTCACTTTTGATCTTTGCTCTGGGGCTGATGGTCCATAATGAATGTTGCATGTCATCCAAGCAGCTGCTGCACTTCAGTGGTGGATGAAGTGGGTCCTCTTCTTTATGTAACAGCTTTTGGATAAATAGCAGTATATAAACCCTATTTATTAATTGGTTTGTTTATTTGTTCATTATTATGTTAATTAATTGATTAAAATATTTAAATATCCCTTGTTCACTCTAGACTCAGAAAACTATTTTGTTCACTATGACAGATAAGTTCTACTTATCGAGCTGTATGTCCAATGAACATTAATTTCACAATAAATAAACATAGCTCCAGCTCTTGTTAGATAAGTTGATTGTTACTCAGTAATCAGATTCAAACAGACCTGCAAATATCATATCAACATAGAGACTCTTTAACAAATTATTCAGATAAACAGAAAACTGATAAGATTATGGTTATTATACATGTAACTAGACCTACCACTTCACAGAAATCAATATATAGCCAGGGTACTTAATTACCTAAACAGAACAAACCTTGCAATAGAAAATCCACTTCAGGATTTTTGTCAACATAATGGTAACATCACAATTCCATTCTTCAGCTAGCACTGTTTTTTATATTTATTTGTACTCTACTTGCCATCCTTATTTTCTCCAGAGACACAGGATAGTTGTTCTCTTCTGAAATATTATTGGTTTTGATCCTGGTATGTTCATGTCTTTATCCAACAACAAAAACACCTAATTTATTATGTCTGAAAAAACGTAATTCCTTTAGTTTGGACATAATAATGCAGAATACAATGTGCATTATTGGGCACAAATATATTATAATTTATATCCTTTAAAAATAAATGCTGAATTTTCAGGAACCTGTGTTGTCTAATCAGAAATATAACTCTCCTTAATTCTCCCCATAGTTGGGGAGCTCAGCTGTAAAATTCTGTTTTAATGAAAGAGCTGGGATCAGGTGCTTGGTAAATGTGGTAATGGCCAACCAGACTTAGGAATTGATGTTAAAAGTGCACATGGATTCCTTACCACCATCGCTCTTTGTGATAGTTAATGTAAAATTAAAAAGCATATCTGCAAACGTCTCAGCTGTATTAAATACAAACTTGAACAGAACATTAACTGCACACTGACCAAAGATATGTGTAAATTCTACTGATAAAAAACTGACATTATTTTGTCTATTGTTTTATTCTGATGCAACTTGAAAAAAAATAAACTAATCTACCCTAACGCTATAATTACACAAACATAAGTTCTCTCCACAGAAATGGAGGTACCTGTAACTGAATTTAATGCAGTTCCAAAATCAATGGCACCACCCTAACAACATAGGATTAAGATTCCATATAAATTGCATTTAGCAGGTATAAAGCTATTATTTTAAACACAGCAACTGGATGGAAAGAGGAATAGAAGAAAAAGATAATTTCCAAAACTCTGCTGATTTGAATTGAAGGGAATACAAACTTTAGGAACAATAACTGAACTACTTTAGTCAATGTGATGCTAAGCTATTTCTGATCTATTGGGAGAATCCTACAAACAGATGAACTGTGGACTGAAAACATTCCAAACTTAAAAAAGTCCAAAGTTGACTGCAACAAAGTTGTGAAATGCCAAACAGATGCCAAAAATAAAAATCAGTACAATAATATCTTTATGTTGGGGATCTCACAAGAACATTCACAGATGTTTCTAAATTTGTCCAGAAACTTCCAAAGGAAGCAGTGTTCATAGACCAAGAAAAAATATCTGACACACAGAGAGTACATTGTGAACTCGGGCCTAAACCAGCCTATGCCTGGAGCTATCATTGTTCTAAACATTAGTGTTTCAGTCAGGATTCAGTACCATTGCAGGCCTGAGAAGTAGTTCCTGTGTGTCAAGATAAGTCATTTCTTCTAACATTCTCCAGAGAAAGAAATAGGTTTTTGTTACCAATGGACAAAATGGTGAAACAACGTCAAGCACATGTAGTTTTTTAATAAATCAATGTTGTTGCAAGAGAGCAAATATGGTGGAAGTTCTTCACGTACAGTATCTCTAGTAAGCACTCAGCTGTATTTGTAGGTCCCCTCCAATCATTGTAAAAAAAATGTTTCATACTATTTTTCATAGCTCCATTTTATAAGGTGGTGGCATGGTGGTGCAGTGGTTACTACTGCTGCCTTGGAGCACTGGGGCCCTGGGTTCAATATCAGAGCTGGGGTGCTGTCTGTGTGGACTTTGTATGTTCTCTTCCTAAATGTGGGTTTCCTTTAGGTGCTCTAGTTTCCTCCTAAAGTCCAAAGGCATACTGATGGGTTAAACTGCTTCTGGGAAAAATGACCCTAAGTCAATGAATGTGTGTGAGTCTATTCTGTGTGTGCTGTGATGGACTGGTGAGCAGGGGTATATCCCACCCATGCCCATTGTTTTCTTGCTCCTCCTCAACCCTGAATTGGATGGAGCAGTGAGAAGATGGATGGATGGACATTTTAGAATGATTAGATTTCCAATTAACCTTTTACAGATTTTTATAAGTGTACTGTAATTGAATATTGCATTTTTAAAATACAGTACAATGTATTAAAATGTGTTTCTAAGTTACATCAACTTTGTAACCCTTTTGAATGCGTGGTACAATACAAAGACTGAATAACAGAAAACATGTAAGTGTAGGAGGTCAAAAGACATATGGTATATAGTCCCTGAGGATCCCATGCTTCACATGAAGGTGGGGCTTACGTCATGGGGATTTCCATGGAATTTGAGGACTATGAGTTCTGCTCTACTTTAACTTTCCATTTGACTACAGGTCCGTTTTCCGTTTTCACGTTAAGAAATAATACATACTTGAAGAACCAATCCTTCCCCGGGAGCTTTGTAAACTATTCTCAGAGTGGAATCAATTTTTTGAAGTAAAAAAAAAAAGTATTTTCATAAATACATATGGTTAATTACTGCTTTAATATAGCCGAAGCACGGAGTATTAAGGAACCTAGTGACATCTAGTGGCTGAAAGCATTTTTACACATACAAAAAAAATAATGTCAGGTTTGAAACTGCAGGGTGCCGTTTGGACCATTTAGTTCGTCTTTTTGCTGGCATCTAGTTGATAGTAAGATTCAATGCATAATATCTCACTTCTTTACTTGCTTAGCGACCCTTGTGGCACATTACTGCACTCTTTAGTGGATGAACTAGGTCTGCACCTATAAGTAAATCACTTTGGTAACTTTGGTGTGACAAGTGCTGTATTATTAATCATATTAATGATAACAATTACTATTATTATATTGATGATAATTTGTGGTCAGTGTACTTCGCACACCGTTTGAATCAGTTATAAGCTTTTATTAGCCTGGAGAAAATGCCTTAAATAGTTCCTCTTGTGACTAGCTAGTAAAGAACCATGTGATAAAATGAAACCCAGGAAAATTGAGAGACAGAAGTTTTTTTTTCACAGTTTAAAATGTGCAAGATCTCAGATTAATCACTGCACATGTGATCTTTGCTCCAATCCTGAATGATTAAGGGGGAGATCAAAAGCTCTCACAAACACAACATTTCCACATATAACAAAAAATCCTTTGTTGGTCAGTTCCTTAAAACAAGCTAAAATGTGAGTATGCGTCATGTCACCCATTTAAAAATAAAAAGATTAAGGCTGGAAATACAAGCTTAGAAGTATAATTTAATTAAAAAAACTGCAAGAAAAGTATGCTCATTGCTTCCTTCAGGACTAATTTAATGATAGTTATCAGGTTTCTAGGCATTGCTTATACATACTTTTATAACCATATAGAAATTCATATGTTTAGGCCTAAACAAATTATTTCTTCAGGCATAAACCTCTATCAATATTACCTCATACTGCATTCATAATGCTCTTTTCATCTGCTAGAATTCTTTTTGTAGGTTGTAGAAAACTCACTGAACTTTTCATAGTAACAATAGAATCCAACATACAAAAATATGAATGAATCTATATTTGTTTCACAAGTGTGTGTTTTATAAACAGCATTAATCAGAATTAATATTTGCAAAATCTGACCTGGACAAAGTTAACTATGTCATGTTGATGACAAAAGGATTGTTTCCATTCATTTTACACACTCCAAAATCAGAATCTTTCAGACAGACTGACAGAGTTTGTTAATATCACTATAATTCACAGTGATAGCGTGCTTTTAAAACCCATAAACGTGAAAGGTGTTCTTTGTAAAATGTATATACGGTATGTTCTAATCCGATCTTAATCACAATAATTTGAATATTTAATGCAGAACATCTGAATAATATTTAGAGGTTCAAAATAAATCTCTTATACAATGTATGTAGTTTTCTTTCTTTGGGTCTTCAAAGAAAATACTATGGAAGCTCATTTCATTATATAATCCCTTCTGTATAAAAAGCCTACCTAACAATATACTGACATATTTTCAGGTTCATAATGTTCAATGTGCAAAAATACACAACACCAGTGTACTCATTTCCATTATTACTGAATAATTCATAAAATGCATCATCTAAGCATATATATACCATCATATGTCAGTTAACTTAATAAGCCTGTACACAAAGCTCATAATTTAATAAAAAGATCAATGTGAAGCAGTGAGTAGCATTTCCTAAAGCAAACAGATTTTGTTCTGTTCAGAATGCACTTACATATTTGTGAGAGTGGAGAAGAAAATCCCCCAAAAATAAAAGCCCAGAGACTGACCTCAATTGTCAGCTGTACAATGTTTCTCACAGTCACAACTAAGACGGATTCTAGTGAAAACCATTTTATAATTTGTCAAATATGTTTTCATTGGATTATTTCACATGATAAGCAAATTTTAAACACATAAAGATAACTTAAAATTTGACAACGCCCTGCATCACATAAACATTTGTCTCATCCACACATCAGAGATTACTAACCCAGTTCTTCACGATAGCTTTGCCTTTGCCTGGGATCATTTTCTATTACTCATCAGACTCAGCACCAGGTACTGGATTGTAATTTGTGCCCATGGATAAAGTTTTTGATTAATTGTTAGGTAAGGGCCGAACCTAATATTTTCTAAAAAAACAGCATTTTTGTGCCAGATACATTAAAAATACAAGTCCAAAATTGTTTAATCAATATTAAGAAAAAAATAATTAAATTGCAACAGTGTCACCCTGTCATACTTATCAAACTTTCAAAACTTTCAGTTTGACTTTTCTGAATATACTAATATGTCTGCTCTCATTCATCTTGAACACTCAATATAAATCCCAATTCTATCATTCATAGTAAAAACAACATGCTTTGTGATAACATTTATTCTGGAACAGTGAGCAACTACAATTGTAGTGTTCTCATTACTTGCAAACTGTAGTTTGTCAAACGCATACATTTTTATTAAAAAAAAGAAAATTAGAAATATGTTCTACATACATCTACAATAGTGTCACTTTATTTAATGCCTAGTCCTTTAATATGTATTTGCATTTGGAGAGATGGAGGTGACGTTGGATAAAAAGTAGCTGCATGCTTGAATATTTCACAACTGACGTATAAACTACAATATGGGTTGCAGTGTTAAAATAGTTCAAAATAATAGAAATTCCCAAAAAATAAAAACACCTCGTAATACCAAACATCATAATGTTGATAGTAAAAACAATCCCCCCTCTTGAAACCATTAATTTCCCCATCCTTTTGCTTTCCTTAAAGAATTTGATTACAAGCAAATTAAAAACTGCTTTACACACTGCTTCCCAGACTCAAACAACAGTCGGAATGTTGATGATGTCACCATTTGTATAATTTTTACATTCAACATTTGATATCTGTTATTACTGTTAAATAAGAAAACAAAAGTGCATGACCGTAGCAAAGAGTGTTCCTAGCATGTTTGTCTGTTAGTCAGTCTTTTAAAGAAGGTGAGTGTGTTACAAAGCAGCCCGTAAGATTAAAAGAGTGAAGTCGTTTTCACTCATTCTTCCTCCTCCTCCTCCTCTTCTTCCTCCCCCATGACCTCCACAATGAGCTCGGCTGTGCATGTGACCTCTCCCAGGCTGTTCACAGCCTTGCAGGTGTATTTGGCATCGTCATCACCCGAGACATCCGAAATGACCAGACAGCAATTCCCCTCTTCATCGTAGTCGATCTGGAAGTGCCGTGTTTCTTTAATGGGCTGGTCGTCTTTATACCATACTACTACTGGATCAGGGTAGCCTGCAATCATATAACAAATGCCATAAGGATCGATTACCTCCTCACTTTATATTTATTTGGAAAAGCTGTCAAACAGAAATTAATTGGACATCCTGCATAACCTTATCCCAGTCAAGCCTGATGGTTTTTGGAAAGCTATTTCAAACAATTATTTCTAATTCTTCTTAGCTTTACACATGAAATATGTTATGGAATGAGCAGGTCATCAAGAGCAAAGCCTTCCGTAAAGTGGGGAAACAACTGGGATCAAATGGATTAACTTAATGGCCTGGATGCAAGCGCTACATTGCATCACAGCTGACCTAAATAAAATGAGAGGCATTTCAATGCACAGTGCACTCACTGAGCTGTGGTGCATTCATCATCCCTTTTCCAAGGATAAAAAGTGATGGTAGTTTCTCATTGTGAAACAGACATAAAACTATTTGGGATGGCCTGCTTTAAAAAGTATAACACAATAATAAATGGTAATGCCCTTCCAGTCAACACTAATTTATGATCATTTTAAAATATAATGACTGATCATTATTTCAGCTATATCAACTGCAGCTAGTTTTACTGCTTCACTTACGCTGGGTATTATGTAATTTCAGTCCTATGGCCTGACAATGACTGCAGCAATTGCACGACAGGAATTTTCCCTTTTTTAATTACCATCCATTTCAAAATCAACACTTCATTACGACACCAGAAGCCTCCATTAAGCATTATAACTATAAAATTAAAATATTACAATCTGAATTTCTGAGATAGAGTGCTGACAAAAACTGAGCTCAGAAATAAAAAAAAGAAATTCTGCAGCCATGTGCCAGTATTAGAATACAGAAATTGTTTTTTGGAACATTACCCTCAATCTTGCAGTCAAATCGAGCAGCGCTCCCTTCCACCACTTCAACATCTTTAATAACCTGGCTGAAATATGGCTTGACATGGGGTCGTTCTTCCACCACAGACTCCAGAAATTCCTGGGCCACATCCTCTGTATAAATCAGCAGAGATCATAGTAAGTTAAAGACATGGAAATTTACCATAAACGATTAAATGACCTAGTAAGGACACATAGAAAACACAGACTAGCTGATTGAATACTGGCGACACCATGATTTCTTAAAATGGGCATGAGTGACTGAAACGTAAGTCCTAGGAAGATGCATATACAGACTGTATTATTAAACTAATTAAGCAGTCGCGCACAGAAAAATAACAAGATCTGAGAATCAGTCCATTTTTAATTCCCTCTCTTTGTATGTCTGATCCTCTAGGCTCAAGGTTATTGCAAAGACAGAGAGCTGCAGAAGCACTAATATAACAAACTGCAAGCCAAGTAGTATCATAGTGTCAATGAGTTCACATTATTAATTTTAAATATTTGTGAGCAGAAAAAAAAGGCAGTTGCTATGGTACCTTCTGTTTCCAGCCTGTCTGAGATTGGCGGGCTTGTGGGAGAACCCCCCTTTTTTCCACTTAGGCCTGATATCATTGCCATAGAAGAGAGTCTGCTGATGGCTCTCACTGCATGACCAGTTTTCTAAAAAAAAAATCTTTATATTATTAGAACAAGGAACAAGAAAAAAAAGGAACACCACAAAACCTAATGTCCAACATAAGCAAGGGCTGGAATTAAGTCACTCTCCATCTGTATTTTTCCCCCAAAATGGTATTGGATGTTTGATATTACAAATATGTAAAATGTGCTTCAAAATTTAACAGATGAGACAGTTTTATGCTGGATTTTGTAAAACAGCAGCTGTTCATAATGGTGAGGAGAGCTTTCAGCCAATGTATAATGTATTTACTCATTTCCCCAGACCTCTAATCAGCTCAGAACGATTTGAGACACCTTTGTTAAAGTACATTTTGATTGTTTTCATCTTAAACTTCGGGGCACAGGAAGGTCAAAGATGCATTTATAACGAAATACTGCATTACAACGGTTAGGTGTCTATCACAGCAAAAAACAAGCAAGAAACGACACAAGTAACACAGATGATGCCTAATGAAACGGGTACCTTTTTATCCCAGATTTAAGAGAATAAGACAGCCCAGACCTTTATCCTGTTTTTTTTTTTTGCATTTTGGGAGGAAAAAGGGCAATGGAATATAAGTCACACATAATTAAAAATAACAAAGTAAAGTGAGTGATGTATAACGCAGTGTGTTCCAGCCAGAATTAATGTTAAGACACCCACATAGGAGTTGCTGCATTTGCTTTTACTTGGCTTCAACAAAGTCTTGAAACCACGGGCTTATGCCAATAACCAAATGAGGGTTTAAGAATCACCTGCCATTTCCTCTTCAGAAGGTATTTTTTCATCCTCTCTTTTGATAGTTTTTTGGCCTCCATGTTCTTCGTGTCTTGTTTCAGCCATGGATGCTGTTGGCACTGATCACACGTCAATCGGCGCCTAAGATGAAAGAACCCAGAAAGATAAAGAAGCTCTCCCAACTTATGCTAGAACAGAACACAAGAGAGAAAAAAGATCACGATAACTTGATCAAAGAGTGAATTGATGAAATGGACATTTTCAGTAAATCTCCATGAATAACATACAGTACAGTACCAAAAAATGCACGATTTCTATTATTTTTATGATTGCAACATAGCACAATGTACAAATTTCTGCAATTACTTTTCATTTAGAAGTAATATTTAGTTTGCTTTAACAATGTCATGTCATGTAATTTGACAAACTGCTTTATACCATACGGTGTCGCAGGAAGCCGTAGCCTACCCAGCAAGCAACGAGCGCAAGGCAGGGTACACCCTGGATGTGACGCCAGTCCATCTCAGGGCAAGTGCAAGCCAATCACACATGGGGACAACTTGGAGGCCGTGGTAAAAGCCAAGGGGGGGAATTTGGCCCAGACACTGGGATAACTCCCTACCCCCAGGGGTCTTTAATGACCACTGAGAGTCAGGACCTTGGTTTAACATCTTGTGTGAAAGATGGAACTCAAAATTATCTTTAAATGATTCCATTAATGATCCCATTATATTGCATTTTATTTATTTAACTTTAGTCCACTAGTGCCTCAGTGTATTAATTATTATAAAGTTTAATTTACATTCTCTACAATATAGTGTTCTGCTTTTTTGACAATTATTTTATGATATCATAACTCCTTTTAAAAAACAATTACCATCTCATTGTTTCTTTGCTGGATTCCAAATAAGCAAGACCTGTCCTTTTTTTTTCTGGGTATAGAATGATTTTTTCATTACTGTTAGTCCTAACTATTTTTGTTAATATCGCTTTTGTGGTAATTGTAAACCACCTCTCCAGTTGTTGGAAAAAGTCAACATTCTTTTGTTCAGCAATAATCACATTCACCCAAATAAGTTGGTATACTGTTGGTGTGTGTTAAACAGGCACTGGGGTTAGTGATCAGTGTTACACGTAAATTGAGGTATTGAAGGGGCAAAACATAAAGCAGGTGAAATGTTTATACAAAACCAGCTCAGGCCTATTTTGTAAATGGCAGATTTTTAGCATCTTTAACTGGGAAACATAACTGGACAAAGGCAAGTTTACGGGAAGTCACATGACAGAACTTTAATACCGAAAAAGGAACACAGTGAACATACAGTAACTGAAAGATAAATTAAGCTTACTTCATGTCCTTTTTTAAAAGGCTGCTAATGAAATCCTTGGCATCATCAGAGATTTCATCAAAGGCTTCATCATCAAAATCCCACGTAGCAGAAGTAACGTTGGACAACGTTTCGTTGTCATTGTCTCCCATGAACGGAGAAAGCCCACTGACCCTGGAAGGAAAAAGGACTTTATCAGGCAAGATTGATTAATATTTTAGATTAATATTAAGTCTAAAGGAAAAGGCATAGCAAACATGCTACAGGAATACAAACTCAGATTTTCATTCACATTCATAGTTGAAATTAATCAAAAACATTCTAATTATGCATTATAATATTATAAATGTATATTAGGAATATTATGATAAGTACTTAACAAATACTGAGGTCACTAACGAGTTTTCTCTAAAAAGGTATTAGGTTCCTTGCCATCAATCTAGGAGTTATTTCCTAAGCACTCCAAAATATTTGATTTTGTAGGTATTTCCATCTGAAAATAGATGAGAGCCCGTTTGAAGAAATGCCCTCAAGTGGCCCCACAGTTGGAGTAACATCACAGGTTATTCCTTTTTATCAACCTTGAGGTTTGTCTTACATCACTCTTAGAATCAAATCTCCTGTTTTGTGCAAATCTCATGCCAAAACAAAACCTGAAACTCCATGTTCTTTCAAAATTCCTGTTTTTACATACTTTCCAATGGCCCAGGAGCTAGACACAGCAGCTATTTTATTAATATATTGTTGTTTTTATTTGAATCTGAGATTGTGCTACAGCTCTAAAGGAAACATTTGGTGTATGTTTTTGTTTCATATGAAGAACACCCTCTGGCAGAGCCGCTGCAGTCACAGCTCTTCTATATCCATTTACAGTAATAACGGAACAGCACAGGTTCATCCTGCAGTGGAAACAATTTTGTTCTAAGAATGTAAAAAATAAACTGATTAAGATGAATCAAACAGTGCCTTGGATGTGAGTCTACTGCAGCTGCCTGAATACATAAAAATACCACTACTGCATCTGAATTAACAGTTTAACAGGAACCATTACTGTTTTTACTTTTAAATGAGACAAGTGAACAGCTATTTTTTTAAATATGTCCTAAGCACAAGGACACACAAAAACTCTAATGTTGTAATCATCATTTTTAATTTCTAAACTATTAGCGTACAAAGAATGTTTTAAGTTCACATATTCCACAAGAATAAAGAACAACTTGGAAATGCTTCAAGTGACCAAGTTCCTTGACCCATTCAGACAGAGTTGCAATAATCAGACAGTCAAGGTCAAGACAACAGAAGTTATGCTCAGCCTGTAAAGCCTCCTAGTGGTTTTAATCACAGGTTTGCAGAATGTAATCCATTTCGACTTTTAATGCCCACACCATGTACTCTCAGACAATGTTTTGTGAACTTTCTAAGTGTGGAGCTTTTCCTTGAATCGCCTCTGCTGTTTCCGTTAGCTTTTTGTTTAAAGTGTACTTTCACTACTAAAACTGCAATCCACATAACTGCATGACTTACAATCCAAGTACAGTACATTCCCAAGCAAGTCAAGCACCTTAAGAGGCCTGTTTCATTTAATACAATCCTACTTGGACAGTTTTATAGATTATGTTCTGAATATGAAAAAAAAAAATAGAACTGTACTGAAGTAGGGAGAGTAATGTTTTCTGAACTCATGCCCATACAGTACCATTTGTTCTAGTCTATCAGAATCATGGACAATAAAAACAGTTGGGGAGGTTTATGCGACTTGTTGCTTCACAAAGAGGGTTTCATGTAACTCCTGTGATTTTAATCATTCTTTTTCATCTGTAAATGATTATCAATGTTAAAACTAGATAAAATATAAACTGGAGATTGCCATCAATGAGATGATGGTGGATGGAGGAGAATTTAAATACTTTTAAAACTTCAACACCACCGATTCGATAATCTCCACTCCCTCCAAAACTCAAATGAAACTGAGAAAAGAACAGACTGAAAATACAAATTTCAGTAGTCACCGTAATCATCTTTTAGAAATGTTATAGTTGCAATGTAAAACCAATTGAAATGTTATTTTCCTCTAAAGGTAGCAGATGTAATCAGCAATTTCAACATTGCTTTGGCATGTTTAGCATAGATAGATGTGAGCCTGTATGCGTGCTTCTTTCAAAACAGTAAATGAGACAAAAAAATCTTGCACATCATTAATTTTAAGCCTTTGCTGAAATCTGTTGTCCCCAGATGGTCTGAAGGAAACTTTGTGTAACAAACTGTTATTTCTATTGAGACTATTAATCTTCTGTATTCATATACACTTGTACATGCAGCACACATACTCAGTTTCTCCATTTGGACACAAATCGTTCATTACCAAATAACTATGTATGCTTAAAATAATTGCTGGGATTTGTGTCAAGATTTGTGTAGTGATAAAGGAAAATAACTGGTGCATATTTGTAGTGATTAATTCTATGTCACAATGCTTCTTCTGTGGTTTAGGTTAGGAGCAATTCAAGGTTATGGTCCCATTCACTTACAAGATGTAGCAGATGACTCCAATGCTCCACATGTCAGTTGCATATCCAATCGGTTCATAGTTTATAACTTCAGGGGCGACAAATTCTGGTGTTCCAAAAAGAACTTTGAGTGAAGATGAGTTTTCTGCAAAAAAAAAGAAGAATTACACAACTTTCCAAGTAGCTCTAAAGAGATTAGCGATACAGCAAAGCCACTTTTGTACAAGCAGTGCCTGGACAACCACACTATGAAATTGTGTCTTATGAATATCAACTGTACAGTAAGTGTCTGCTTGTAGCAATGGGCTGATTACCTAATCGCCGGGCAAGTCCAAAATCAATCAGCTTGATTTTGCTTCCTGTCTTATTCACACACATGATGTTCTCTGGTTTCAGGTCCAAATGGACGATCCCTTGCTTGTGGATGAACCGGACGCCATCAATTATCTGCAGCATGTATTTGATGACTTCTCTTTCTGTTAACTCAAAGTCTTCATCAATAATCCTCTCAAAGAGCTCACCTCCAGAAATCCTGTAAAAGCGCACAGGTAATGCAATGACAGTTACAGATATCTTCATAACAAATAGAAGGATAATAAAGGAATTGATTCTTCTATATTTTATTCAAGCAATTTGTTAAAAAAACATATTTCCGAAAGGTTTTTCAGACAGCCCAAATGAAGTATTCCCAACATTATTGCAAAGTTTCAATTTTCATAAAAAAAAATAAAACTCATACTAAAATGAGTTACATCTGTTTGCAGAGCAAGGTGCAGGTTAGTCCAAAAATTAGACTCACAAGTTGATGACAGCTTGTGTTTAAAAAGAAGACGATTCCCACAGACAAAAAACTACCATATAGTACTAGGATTGCAATGAATGTATGTTGAGTAAAAGGTCAGATTTATTTTTATTATAATGTATATGCTAAGATTTATTCAATCATTAAATAGACAAAGTTATTAAAATCTGTGTCCACATTGGATCTATCATTTACTGTATATAAAAATCTGTTATAATAAAGAGAAGACATTATTTTGAACTTATTTACCGTTGAAAAAAGAAGAAATCTTGTATTTTGTTCCATGAAAACATGCTCATTTACACATTCACTGAGAGCTTGTAGGAATTGCAGAACAGGCTATTACTTTAGCTGTATATTTTACAGATTTAACAAGTACTGTAGCTTTATTCCTTCTATCATTAAAAATGATTTCTGTTTCATGGGATGTTTTCATTTACTTACAGTATGTGCAAATTATACTGATACATCTGCAGTAATAGGCCTGCACTTTGGTACTATACTGTAGTTCAGCATACAGTATACAGGGCTAAGCTAAGCACATCCTGCCTTTGCTACTTTCAGTTTTGCACTTTCTGTTACCCCTGCAGCAGACAAACTAATAATGTACGAAGCAAATAAAGTGAGATATAACCCTGAGTGCTCTACTCCATAGTCCTGTTTTTGTTTCAGAATAAAATTCATCTTCAGCCCAGAATGCATGCTCTACTAATATCTTAGACATCATGGTTAACCAGAAGCAAAATCACTGCTCCTGTGAGGGATACCTTGGACAAGCTCAGGTCTTACCAGCAAAGCATACATATTTCTAAAGTCTAAGGACATTTAAAGGATTACCAGGTTAACATAAAACTGTCAAGAAAAAAAACGTGATCTAAACAAAACATTATCTGTATGATTCTGCCAATCGATTTTTGATTTGGATTCCAATAAGATTTTTTTCAGTCATTAATGGCTGCAAAACTTTGCAAAGATTCAGATCTGCTTTTTCCAAATGGTATGCCAGAAAGGAAATTCTTCAGATTACCCTGTTTTTTATCAGTACATCGTCTTCTATATTTGGTCGAGATTAATCGTGTGCAGGAGTCTTAGTTCAAGCTCAATCGTTGTAACAGCCAAGCTGGGAACAGGTTTTTGTTATAAAAAAAGACCTGCTTCAATGTGATTATTGCGATAAAACTAGAATGCTTTACAAAGTTACAACTTCTTTATTTCACTTATCATTTGGGATACACTATTTTTTATTGTTGCTGAAGAAATCATCTCTGCTTTTATTTAAACTGCTCATGCATTTTTTAACCATTTTAGACAATCATTTAAAGACAATTCTTTCTGAAGCAAAAGAGACAATACTGCTTTAAATATGAGACTATGTGACTTTTAAAACAAGTTGAAATAGCTGGAATAAAAGACCAGATGCTGTCAGTAGTAATGATAACAGTAAAAATACACTTGTTGGGTTCACCTATCCAGTTCCCTCTTTTAAGTGTAATGGACACCTGATTTCATTTCACTGACATAAAGACACCACCTAAGTTACTTTTCCTCCATTTATAATATTAAATATAAAAAGGGCCATGCAAAATTATATATTGATTGATATAATTTCATATTGTGGATTTTAATATAGTTATGCATATGTAATTAGAACATTCATGGCAATTGTCCTTGAACTGGAAAAAAAAAATATATTATCCCAACATTTGCTGCTGATGAAACAGGTTATCATATTTCATCAAGTCCCCAAGCAAGCAGCACTGTTTTAAGGAAAATATTCCACTGGAGGCCTCTGAATCCTGATATACCCTTTAAGTCCATTCAGGAGATGTGTATGATAACTAGAGATCATTCGTCACTTGCTTATCACATTATGAGTTGGTAAATGATTAGTGATTTATTAAAAACAATCAAAAACACATTTAATAAGTACTGTATGTATGGACATGTATGGAGTGATATATAAGAACAAAATACTCACATTTCCATAACCATGACAATGTCAGATTTGCTTTCGAAGGCATCCACACACTGGACAAGTTTAGGGTGATGAAGGCAGTTCATGATACTAATTTCTTGCCTCACATTTTCTTTATCTTTGGCTGAATAAGCTTTTATGAACTTTCCTGCCCAAACCTTTCCAGTTTTCTTCTCAAATAGTTTAAACACTTGTCCAAATTTTCCCCTAAAAGACAACAAATATCCATTAAAAAACAGATCACTTGCCATCCAGTGGAACTTGCAAAGAGGCAACTCATTCAGTTACGCAGATCACCAGTCATCTGGTTACTGATTTTAGATCTGAACTGCAGTCAAGCTGTTAAATTTTCTTAACCTTATTGTTTATTTCATAACATTTCCACCTTTTCTCTAAACACATTTACATATCATCTGGATTTTCTTATAGAATCCCTTCTATATACAGTACCTTGAAAATTTGCCTGCTGACAACAATGACATGACATACTTTACACATGCCTCCACCTAGAATATTACATAACTTGGTTAAATAAAGAATAGGTTTGGACATAAAAATGGCCTGTCCTCCATTAAATACATTATCTACATTTGAAAACTTGTTATTTAGGTATATGTATTTTTAAAAATGTATTCAAGGAATTTGGAACAAAACATGCAAACATTAATGTTGTATGCAAATATCAAAGGCAGAAACAGACTTGTGCATAATATCTTAAATCTGCATATACTGTCATACATTTAAATTCCCAGCTGGTGACTTCCTTTAGTGTTAGCTCTCTAATAACTGAAACTGCCACTCTTCCACACACCCTGAACCTAAATTGCATCTTCTATGTTTGAAGAAAAGGTGTAGATATCCCTCTTTAGATTCTGTTGATGGGTTTCTGCATGTATCTGGCTAAAAAATGTGTTTAGATTAATTTGACAATATGTCTTTTCTGAAGAAGCTTTCTGGCTCTCAGATATTTTTTGGCAAAAGGTAATCGTTTGTTGTAGTGCTGAAGACCTTTTGAAGTAACCAGACCACTGACACCCTTCTCTCTCAGTCTGTTTTTGAAGTTTGGTCTGATACTACAACACCATATCTTCTATTATCTACACCACACGTGAGGGACTCACTTCTGTGTTTCTGCACAACTAATTCTTGAAGATGATGGAAAGATGTGCTTTAATGTAAAGTGGTTTGAAATGATGTATTTTATGGATAAAAGTCATTAAAGCAACAGATCACTTACGTTCCAAGTCTTTCGTCCACATCATACAATTCTTGCACCTTCTGAGCTGTGTTAATAAACACATCTCTGTACTCAGGCTCTGCTTCTTTGTCAGCATCTGAGATGCAAGAGATAAAATATTAATAGAAAATAACATGGCATATTATTTCATTTTCAGACAGCTGCTTTAAAGCACTTACCATCATCAGATATTTCGGCCTCTTCTTTTTTTTCTGAAAGTTGAAAAAACAGACATTTGTGTTACTGTTTCTTTAAATACACCACTAAAATCGATAACAGAAGTCTCTGACCTTTTCTCAGCCACTATAATAGACTCCTACATACAAGGTTACATAAGTAAATCTGTGCCAAACAGGGTTATAAATAAAACTAATAAATTTCCTATGTTTAACAGTAGCTGTAACTAAGGCCTGTGCCAAGTTTCTCTGCCCAAGTGGCTGTTAAAATAGAATTAATTGGCCCAAGTAGTCAGATTTTATTAGCTTTAAAATAGGTTTTTAGGATTGTTCTTATTTTAAGACTAATAATTAATGTAATTAATGCATCCTTTTTCATCTTTTTGAACTTGTAAGATCCAAATGTTCTTTACAAAGACAAGGGGACCCACTTCAATACTGAAGTGTAAGTTGGGTAATACATATTGCGGTAGGCCAGATTGTGGAAACCCAGTTTTTGCTCAGTGCCTCAACATCACAATAGGTGTTCAAATTTTTCCAAAAACTACCACTACCCATAATTATAAAACCACCCAATCTTCCTTTGTCACTATAGGCTATCATGGAGAATGCATTAAAAAAAGATTGCAGCAGTTTGCTGCCTTACCTCACAGCACAAAGACATTTTGAATAATTCTGAAGATTTAAAATTAGAAAAAGCTCCTATTTGTGCTACACATTTGATAATAAAAAAAACATCATACTGAATACAGACACATGATACTGAAACCAAATATACCAATACAAAGAGTATTTGTAAACAATGACTTTGCTTTACAATACAATAAACTTTTTTACATTACTGACCAACTTGATTTTTGAAAGGGCAGTACACTATATTCACCACTAGGCGGAGCTCACCTTCTGTTTTTTCACCGACTGTGACCAACTCAGATTCTTGGCTGGGCTCACTGACTCCGTAGATATTAGCAGCTCTTAGCCGGAACTTGTACTCCCTGTCTGGTAGGAGACCTTGGACATTGAATGATGTGCTCCGACAACTGGTGAGATCTTTCCACTGCTTGTCAACCGAGTTCCATATCTCTATGGTGTAGGACTGCACTGCACTTCCACCATCGTAAGTGGGGCCATACCATGACAACGTGAGGGTGGAGCTGCGGATGTCTGATGTACAAGGCACCCCTGCTGGAGGTTCAGGCTTATCTGAAAATAACAATTATGAAGAATCAATGGTACGAACAAGAGCTGAGCACAACATTTTGTGACATCATTACAGTAGCTGAATGTCTTCCTCTCGTTTGTAACCTTTCTTATCTTCTTATGTGTGTGCAAGAGTTTTAATTTTGAAAGGAAATAGTTCCAGCAACACACCTGAGAGGTATTAATACACACACACGTTGATTTATTACTAAAAAGAAGTTGCATTGTAATAGTAAGGATATTCAAAAATTTCTGAAACACCATGAAATTTGCCAAAGAATAACAATCTGGAGCTGTTGGTTTACATCAGGTCAGAGAAAGCTCTCTGTGAATAAATATATCTGATCATTATAAGAAATGATCTTCTTGCCTGAGGTAAGAATTTCTAGTTTGCATTTGTTTAAAAGGGATAAGGATTCATTATTTTCACATTCATTTACAATGAACTCCCTGAAATATGAAATTAACTTCTGAAGATAAACAATAACACTATAAAAGATTTTAAAAACTAGTAGTCATCTTTCAATCATGCAGTCACTGAAATAATACTATAATAAAACTCACGTTAAAGTTTATTCCATAAAGGCAGATTGAAAATGGATAAATGAACAGTGACAACATGATTGTTCTATCTCTTCCATGGTGAGTTGATTCTCCAAAATTTAACCAGAATAGTGAAAAACTTAAGGGAATTAACTATTTTTTAAGCAATTCTGTCTACTTGTCACCTTTCTGAATATAAAAAAGTATATTCAATTTGAAACATAAGCTGAAAAAAAAAGAAACTTCTACCATTAAGGACTAGCAGCATAAGTGGTAAATTCAACCAAAATCACAATACTCTGTGCTTCTCATTTCTGCTCTGAAATTAGTCCATAAAGAGTTATCAGATACATTCACAGGCTAAAAGGAAAGACCTAAATTGAGAGATTAAGAGAACATCATCTTTCCAGTTGGTACAAAAAAGACTACCGTGGGATTTCTTTCCATATGAATCATGGGCCAGATGACACAAGTAGAAATTACTGGAAAGTGAATTTAAAACTGAGAACAGGAGAAACATCTTTATACTGTATAAAGAGTGGCAGGAATCTGGAGCAAGCTATTCTAGAAGCGTTGTCAGATTTGGTGTCTTCTTTGCAAAAGACCAAACAGTAAAAACAGAAAAATACCAGTTGAGATCCCGAGAAGGCCAAGGCATCAGTACAAGGACAAGTTCTGTAAAGTAACACGCTAAACATTTCTCACTAAATAATGGACAGGCAGTCTCATCTCCTCACAGCACTGGCTAAAATTATGAAATAGGCTTCATTCAGACTTGCGTCTGATTGCAAATGATTGATAAATGGAATACACATTGAAATGAAAACAAAAGATGACTGATCATTATATTAATAAGACTGAGCTAGAGAGAAATCCAGACCTCTTCCAGGAATGTCATGGAAGTCTACATTGCCTTGTACTGTTCAAAGTTCAAAACAGTAACCTTAATGTGGAAAGAATTAAAAGAGAAAAAAATCTGGAATAAATTAAACAAGTGCTACTCAGAAACATTTAACCCCATCTGACTTCAGAGTAGTAATTTAACAAATGTGCTTCCTACTGTAAACACAAAATACAAGACAAATGGTTCTTTATTAGATTAACTTAAATAGTACTATATTTGTTTTTAGGCTGAATCATGCAACTATTGAGTAGGCAGACTTCAAGGCACCTACAAATATAGTATTGTGGTAGTATTATTTACACTGGTGTCAGTCTACATTTCACAATCACAGAACTCACAGTTTTCCACTAGTTTTGCCTCCCAGTTTACTCAATATGTATTACAGAGGTTATTCCCCACCTATCTGCCTGAAGGGAAGGTATCCAACGTAGGTATTTTAACATAAACATTCATATAAGAACATATCGAAACTAATGGTATATAAATGTCCAATGCAGATGAGCAGGTTACACCAGACTGAAAAAATACCGTAGCAATTAATACAAAAATATTTACAGCTTCTTTTATTTTAAATTGCAGTATAATTGAAACATCCAACATTTCAAATGCGTAATTTATTAGATTTTTCATATTTTTATAAAGTAAATGAAAGTCAATGTCTGAATCTCTCCTCATGGATTGCAGATATACTGTAGGTAAGTCCTAACTAGTACAAATAAATGGCACCCTCATTTCCTTTTTTCATATTATGGAATACCCTACTGTATATACTGTCAAAGGAACGTTTATTCTGTGTTGTATACCAGATGTTGGTGGAAGATAATTATGTTGATGTTGCATTTCTTAATAAAAGAAATGCTTGTGTGTCTCATTTTATAATGATATTTTTGCTTTTTATTCAATTTTGAAAATTGATTCCTAGGCTTAAAAAAAACATGCATTTTCCAAATGGTAAATGGATGGGCTTGTCTGAAAAATTGTAAACTGATAAAAAAGGTAAAAGTTAAACAAAACACAACTTTCCTAATAACATTGCAGGAGAAATGTACACAAAATGTTGAGCTTCCAGTCTTCTTGGATATATTTCACAAAAAAATGAAAGTAATAACTAGGTACTATAATAACAGTTTACATTTGAGTACTTTATTAGTTTTGCCAGTCTTTAATGAGCTCTGTGTGCTGCCATTACTTTGGACTGCGGTCTCTCAGTGGCACACAGAACAACATTGGGAAGTAACAGAATAATTCCACTGCCCTAGCTGTTTAGTTCTTGTAGGACTTAATATTCTTTTAGCCAGGCTGGATACCATCCATGCTGACAGCGGCAAAGTCTTTCATTTTAGGCGCTGTAAGAAACGAAACCATAAAAGGCTCTTAAAAATCTCTGCATCTGGGGCTGTTAGGATCCAGCATGTCGCTGTTTACCTTGTATATCACATTCCTTTAGCGGTACAATGATAAGAAAAATCAGTGTCTGGCAAGACTAAGCTTTTGCAGCTGCTCATATAAAGTAGCATATAACCTATTTATTTTTTATGTACAACCCATAAAAAGGCACTAAAGGCACGCAACCTGCTGGTTTAAATTTAAATAACTAAAAGCAATAATGGCAGACAATTAAATTAAAAAAGGAAACTAAAGATAATATAAAAACATTTTTTGCTTATCGCTCTTTCATTCACATAACATTTCCTTTTCATTGAAGCAAGTACTTTAGCATTTGAAGGCAGTTTATTCTATAGTACAATGCCTGAAATATGACAATAAACAAAGCTAAAGACGGTCCAAATATGCTTTCATTTCAAATAAACTGTTAACATTGAAATAATTAACACCATTTTTGAATGAACAGTTTATGAGATAGCTATTTCTAAAACACAAAAAGGCTAAAGATATCGATGACCGATAGTTAAAAATGCAATTAAAGGTTTAATACTGTGAAAATTAGAATTTTGCTTAAAGTTCTGTGTAAGCAGAACCAGATCACTGACAAATGACAATCAAATTCAGTTCTGCATAAAACGTTCCCAATATTTAGTACTGAACTGAGACATACTGTATGGCATCAAACTTACCAACAATGGTGAGGCTGACCTGAGCTTGTCTACTGCCATATTTATTTTCCAATTGTAGAGTATAACATCCGCAGTGCTCATGCTTAGTTGGGGAGATAGTCAGTTTGCTTGCAGTTTGTGTAATTTCTATTTTAATAGGTCCTTTCTCCTGTATCTGTAAAAGAAAATAATTTATTGTTCTTATCCTCCAGGACTTTTATGCTTCTCAATGTCTATCCTGTTTAATTTCAGTCAACAAAAAATGCTGCTATATAAGGTGGTTAAATTTTTAAGTTCAGACCAAAGGTTTCTTTAACCATTCAATTCCTTTTTTCTAGCCCAAGTCCAAACTCTAATAATAATCCTAGCCTTAAAAGTATTCTTAAAATGAACCCTAATGATAACTCTAATCCCAAACTTAACCATTCCTGTAATTTTTAATACTAACTCTATCACAGACCCTGTCTCCCGTACTGATACTGACCCTAGCCATAATCCAAAACATGAGCCTCATCCACAGCACTAACCCTATCCTTAATCTTTACCCTGTAATTAGGGCAAAATATAAGCCTCGAGCTGGACTTAAAGTAAGGCTTAGGGCTGAGGTGAGAGTCAAGGATTTGGTTTTAGGTTAATGTAAACATCATGGGAATCCAAAGTAATGCAATGTAATAAAGTCATGCATGAATCAAGAGCCATTTAACAAGCAAGAAACGGTACATCACTTTGAGGGGAATAATTCAATCCATTTTAGGTCCGTACCTCTTCCTGTTCTATATCAACAGTTTTGAACCAAGTTAAATTTGAAGAAAAAAATTGGGGAAATAACCAGAGAAACAGCAGCAAGGAAGACATTTAGAATGTTAGATTTAGTTACTAAATTACCCAATGAACTTCCTCTCATGTTCCACCCTTATTTTAGGCAAAGCTGTGTATTGCAGTTTGATTTGACACTGGAGACGTCCAAAGCTATAGAAAGATGTTTTAACACTTACATTCCCTCCAAGAGGAACTACATTTTAAGCATTATTCAAATTATCATAATATTTCCAAATGAAATTTGTATCATGCAGTACTTAATTGAATGGTAAGGGTTAGAGTAAGGGTTAACAGTTGAATTATTAAATCTTACTAAAAGGTGGGATAAAAAATTTATTACGATCCTATTTTACTGTAACTGGAACAGACACGTATTGGTAAAAGAAAAAAGTATCTTACCTGCTTTCTAAATTTTAGCCAGGTGCAAGTAATAGGCTGCGTTCCCCCAAACTTACAGAAAATGTCTACAGGCTCTCCAGCACGTATCTTCATATCTGCTGGGAACTGCAGTATCTGAGGGGGAACAGCTGAAATAAAAATAATCGCTTTAGATTTTTACTAAGATGGCAGGAGTTCTAAGCAGTGCAGAAGATTAGAAGGACCAGATAAAAAAAAGGCCTAAGCTTTTGATTCAGTCCTCCAGTGAATATAAATATTTTATATTCCAAAGTATAATTATTTAAAAATAATATACAACATCTTCTATGAAAAATACAATTCTATTGCCTGAGCTATATATTGCTTTCATTTAATGGCCTTGCAAATCAGAGTTGCAGGTTATGGTCTGACATATCACTAGGCATAGATACTGTCATATTTTTTCACTGGCCCTCAGCACATCAAAACACAAAATTTACAAAGAAAAGGAGGAGGAAACTTAGATGGGCAAGTAAATAATAACATGAAGGATTTTTGTGGAGGGCCAGTTACAAAACCTTTAAATTGTCGGTCATGACTAAAGTGCCACTATTATTATCCCTACTGCATATGCCTCCATCAATCTAGCACAGAAGGATTGAAAAACACTGGCACTAAACCATGTCCACATCACAACAATAACTCCTTCAAACCTGCTTGTTTGAACAATGCACAACTCTAGCAGAAGCTGTTATTCTGAATCACCATCCACAAAGGGGATTCCCCACCATTCTTGGCAAGCATGCCTGCCTTTAATCAGCATTTGACTGAGGGTTCTTTAGTCACAAGTAAAACTGCCAACGTTACCCCAAAAATGATAAGTGTGCCAACAGAAAAAAAAGGATGCAAAGCATTCTGACAGTAAAGGCAACTACATTTCAGGGCCAACTTATTGTCACAGGGAAGTGTAGAGGAATTTAAATCCAAGAATTTCAATCAGCACCAAACAGCTTTACTGTCATTCCTAAAACACACTGTCAGGGGACATTCTGAGTTATTAAAGCTTATATGTTTAGACAGTAACCCAAGGTTTAGCATGGGTTATATATATATAAACATTTCAGCTTTGGGTTCGAGTCCATATCTGAAGAAAATAGCCCTCTGGAATCAACATGCATGACTAAGATAATCCAAAATAAAAATCTTACCTATTTTAGGAGGTGTCTTTGGTGCTGGTTTCTTCTTAACTGTAGCCTCATCTGGAAGGAAAGCACACAATCTATTCATAACTGGACAAAAAGATTCATTTGCATTTTATACTTCTGTTTAAATCTGACTAACACAAAGTACTGAATAATATAAGGTATCAACCTTATGGTGAATATAAGACCATGAAAAGAGGAGCAATGACCTGTACTCCATTTCAAACTGATTGTCTTGTGTAAATTAATGTAACAGCTGCAACTGACTTTGTGACAAAATAAAAAATACATTCCATCCCTATTTTTTATGATAGAGGAATCCTTTTCTTTACAGTGTAAAACAAAATGAATAAAAGATTGGATCGTGTTTCACAAGTAAAGATTCATAAATCGAGAGAACCACATGGAGGGAAAAATTGAGCTATAAATTAAATCATTAATAAATTATCAGAATATTACTGTTTGGTTCAATGTTAGGTTGTCACAAAATAAATCAGACCTGAACTGCAGACATATACAGGTATTTAGAACTAAAAAAATCAAATGTAGGTTGGAATGTAAAACAATAAGACATGACTACATTAGAAAGATTTTTTTTTCCCCATTAGAAAACTTTCTAGAGTTCAAAACAAAAATTAACATCAGTATATCAAAGCACAATATCAATCGAAAACTAAAGGACTGGTCATTCCTTTATTGCCATTATCAGAACAGTTTATTTGCAGAATATGGCAGATCTTGCTCCTTCTACATTCCCCAAAAGCCTAATGAGAATGACCTGCTCTGAGAAAGGGAGTTGTTGAAGAGACCACACAAAACTAGAAGAGAGACTTCCTGACATGTGGACTGAGGAACAGCTGTGCTTGCAGAACAGAGCAGAGGAACTGAAGATAACTAGCCCTCTGGGAAGAAGTGAAAACCACCCTGTCCATGGCTTGAGTCAAAGAACAGAAAAAGAGCAGCTGCACCCCAGGAGGAAGCCAGAGAGGGTGAAAAGAAAGTATGTGATTGACCGATGACCAATGGCACCCAGATTCGCAATTGTGTACTGGGGTTTTCCTGTATGTTTGATGTGAAAGCCTGTACGCAGCATTTTTGCCTGGTTGTTAGTGAGAGAAGTGTACATGAGTCAGAGCTCTGAAGGAACCAGGTTTTTGTTTTAGTTTGTTTACTGTTATACTGCAATTGTGCACTTCATAGCTGCCATAGTTCCTACACTGTGCTACCATAACTATATTTGGGAGACAGCAGGAAGTAGGTCGTGTGGTCCTGGAAACACAGCAGGAAGGCAATTGACTACATAGACTGGATGAGGGACCCCACTACATGACTGTGACAGGAAGTATCTTTCCCAGTTGTACTGAGAAATGGTACAGAAAGTCCTCAGGGAGGATGAGAGCTTCCAGAGAGAGGTCATTTAGCAGCAATATACTGACCTCATGAAAGCTCTCCACGTCATGTCAGAAGTGACCAAAGGCTGGAGCAAAGAATCTGCAGGGACCTAACGGAGGGGATGCCTGAGGTCTCTGAAGTCTCCCAGGTGGGGTGGCAAGCCTCGTTGTCCAGGCCAGAGTCACAGGGAAAAATAAATTTAGCATCCAGCAACGAGCTTGAGAGGGGTGAGATCAGCAATCTGTACAGTCGCAAAGCTTCCACCCGTGGGAGAAGATTCAGAAAAGGAGAAGCTGACTTCTCCTGAGCTGCCACTGCCACCACCGGAATGCTTTGTTTCCGAAGCCAAAGGGACAAGAACAAGAGGATGACTGTTCAGTGCCACCTTGGCCGGGGGCAAAAGGCTGGCTGCCAGTAAAACAGGCAGAGAAACCTGCCTGTTTTACCACTGCCAATATTGGCAAGTGAAGTGCAAAGCATGTGGAAAACCCCCTGCCAGGCTCCTGCACATACACGCGTATAGCAGGAGATGTACTGTCACTTAAACATGCCAATGCCTGCATTCTCCTCTAACAGGGAGAAGGCTGCCCAACTGCCTAGAGGAGGAAGAGCAGACGCCAGTGTCCTCCAGCACAAGACAAAGAGGGACGTGCCGGTGTCCCCTGCGCCGGTGAAGGAGCAGACCAAGAGCTGTGCCTGGTATACAAGGGAGGATGGCAGGCTTCTGGTACAGTATGTTCCATTCACACTCCTCCGTTTTCTGCTTCTGCAAGAGCAAGGCCATGGAAGGCCTCTTCCTGATGTCGCCTTCCCTCGTGAAGGTGTGTGACTTTACAGTTGGAGGCGAGTGGAAAGGATAAAGATCTGGTACACGCCTTCATCTGATCGGCCTGTCAAAAGGCAATTGGTCTGGCAACCAAACAAAACTGAAAAGACTCCTGTTGAGTGGAGTGAGGTGCAGCTACAGGCGCAGAGGAGCAGAACCAGAGCTGGGTATTCTCACAGGCAGAAATTACCAAGGCTAAGAACATGGGAAATGCTGGCCCCCAGGAAAAGACTAGAGAGAGTGAAGAATGGATCTGTGATTTTGTGGAGATTATTGTGAGAGCCAATAATGAGTGTAGCTGCCTGGCTCACAGTTTGAAAGGCAAAAGTGAATCTGAAGAAGAAGCTATGTTATGGTATTGGTTTATTTATTTTTGTTCTACATTATGAATAAAAAGTGCTGTTTTGCACTTGCAAACTGTCCTGTTATCTCTGCCATTAGCTGCATTTTTTCTTTGTTGATTGATACTTTGCACTTGAGAGCCCCTGCCTCATGTGTTGTCATAGTGCCTACCAACATATCCATTAGCATTTCTTTTTTCACTTAAACACATTGTTAAATTATTATCATTCGTATTTCTGACATAAATTAACCACAATTAAGCCACTGCAACTGTGATTACATTACCAGAAATATCACACAGCCTTTCTAAATACCCCATTCTACTAAGTTTACTGTTAAAATTCACTTTCACTGTGTTAACAAAAACAGAGCATTTTTGTGCTGTGTCAGCCTTGCATTTGTTCATCGTTATTAGTCTGACACCAGTTAGAAATCAGCAATAAGTCTGCTTCTGCTAAATGACCAAAAGTTGATTTAACAGTGTGTTTTCAACAATCTTTCCTCCATTATGAAACCCACTGGTGTTTTTAAATTATGCCATTCCAGAACTCTTTTCACTTCAGCAAAGCTTATTACAATGTCACAGGCTCTGAAATTGTGAAGAACTGTTCATTTCAATGGAGTAGCTTTTAAATTAAATTGCGCATGCAAATAGTTTTTCTCCATTTCTTCAATATAATATTTATGTGTCAAACCATGAACTTTACAAAGCACATATACAGATCTCGAAAAATGGCATCAAAGATGACAGAATATAAACAGCACTGAAACTTTATTTAGATTTGTCTGAAAACACAATTACTTCCTAATGGATGTATCTGAAGTTCATAGGAGAAATTCAAGGTGAAACTTACAGTTGTGTGATAAGCCTATTATTTAGGGAGGAACTGTAATAACTCTGCTAAATTTCCATGGGAGAAGTTCTGCTTAGGAGCTTATGTCCTTTGGAGTTTTCCTTTTATGGTAATACTAAATATAGTACTAAACTACCCAGGAAATGGCTTTCTGCACTATTTATTTTATGTTTGATTGCTGTCAAGAAACAATGTGCCAGTAAAACCAGTTAATACTAGAAGTGAATCCAAACCCTAGAAAAGCCATCAAATATAATCTAATTAAAACTCTAGCTGATGTCTTTGAAATTCATTACTCAAGCCTCTGTTGTATCTAGTTTTGTATTTAAAGCCATTAAAAAAGTAATGGAAAACTGTGTTCCCAAGAAAAGAACTTTTTTAGTAAGCTCCTTGACAAAATCCTGCTTTTCCATAAACAAGCAATAGTATGTGAAGTCTATAAAGTAAAATGCCAGAAATGTTTTATCTCGTTCCCTAGCCAGAAATGATAAAATGATAAAAGTTCTGATAAAAATGTAATTCATTAGGTATCTAATTCCAAGTACAGATTATTAAAAAAATATTGTATTTGTTATCTATTAACACAAACTAAGACACAACCTTAAGTCAAAAGTTCACATACCACAAATGTGGTAATGGAAGCTGGAAATTGTGTCTGACTTTTAATACAGAAAATGCAAAACAACCAAAATATACCAAAATTACCCAAGGAATTTCCATGCTGTGTTAATAGTGATCAGTTTTCTAAATTCAGTTCCTGCCCTATGTTTTCAGCTTGATAGCATTATGACAGCTTCTGAATTCTGCTAGCTGTGCCTGCTCTTTATTGCTTTGCTTCATTTCTCAGATGACCAAGATGTTCTTTTTACAAGCATTCATAGGAAGTCTGTGATCTTGAAATCTCCTGAGTACTGGGGTTACACTGTCAGGCCCCTTAGTGAAACAGAGAAAACTATGCACTTGCTCACTCTCATGAATATACTGTATAGGAGGACAAGACTGTTGAAGCCCATTGGCATCTGAATGATGTCAATGATATCTTATGCTGGGACCTACATACTGTAAACAATACTTGATACTGTATGTGAAGAAGCTGTTCTGCAATGTAGGGGGAATGGGTGAAGGCAAGACAAGTCTATGGAACATTTCATAAAAGCTGTCAGATGATAAAGAACACACTCATGCCTGGGATTTCAAAGAACAGAGCACACTAAACCATATTGCTAAACTTTATTACTAGAAAATAAAAAATAATAGATTGTGGCATATCACTTTTTAACCAAACCAGCAAAAATCTATTTTTTGTTTAGTGTCTCATGTCAAACAAAACTCAGTGTTTTAATATATCCAGTATTTCCAAATACCAGACTGAGAACATTACCAAAGAAAATGTTATATAACACAGCCTACTGCCTTCACTCTGGAATTTTCAGAGGTTTGAACACAGGCCTTAAATTATAATACCTGCTGGAACAACAAAATTGTTTCATTCTATATAATGTTTCCAAGAGCTGAACCACACAGTTATTGAAAGAAAAGTCCCAAGAACTTAAAACCTAAATTGGATACAAGAAACAACAGAGTTGTGAATATGAATAATTAATTTAAAATAGTTTCATATGAGAAGCCTCACTAATACATAG